TGATCCAGGCGGCTATAGAAAAATGATGCGAAGAAACAGAATGAACTTCTTTTCTTCTGTAAAGTGGGCGAAAGGGTCTAGCTTCTTGGAAAGATTGGTGTAGAACTTCAAAGCACTGATATGAACGTATGAGATTTTTCATGCTACTACAACAAGGTTGTACTGTATCTGAGCCCTGTACCCTCAAATTCAGCTTTCAGATGAGCCCTGAATATTCCGCTTTCAATAGTCACCAGAGAGGAAAGGGGCTTGGAAACAAAACCAATTCACATTATTTATTTAGCTTGTTAGTTAATTCGTTACATTTTTTTAGCCATCCAACTCCAATGGATTCATGGACTGTTTCACAATGAAGCCTGTTTCTAAATGTTTTCATTTTCTCTAGCCTAAAGTACATACTGATACTTTTTGCACAGGAATCTAGGTATTTTCACTATTCCTCTAGTGTCAAATCACATGTTTCTGGACCTCTAACTTCCATATGATTTACGGATATCTCCAGCCAATAATCCACATCCCCCAGGAATGCTTCAGGATGTTCCTTCTGAAACTTGATCCAGGAATTTACAAGCCATGTTGTCAGGCACATACTAGGTCCTGGTTGGTTCTCTGTATCACTATACGCTCTGTGCAGCACCATGCTGTCAAGCTGGACACATGACCATGGAAACACCCCCAGGAAACACCGTCTCTTTGCCTTAACAAATGGAGATGAGCAACATCACTTAAAGTCGGCCACAACTAGTGGGGGAAAACCTGCAGGGACACCTTTCTTCCCCAGAATTCACTGCATGCAAACATACGCTGTGCCCTCTTCCTTTCCAGTTCCCCCTTGAAGAAAACTTGCTACCCAGAACTAGAAGCAAAGCAATTTTCTTTTTGGCTCAATGTATAAGGAATAGAAAGAGAAAAAAGCAGAATATTTAGCCCACCCTGAATATAATTATTTATATTGGCTCTTCACATACCTGTTTTCTGTGAGAAAGGATTCCTTTGGAAACATGTATTTTTTCCTGGATATTTCAGGATCTTTGTTTCCTATCATCTTTTGAAGTATTTCCTCCTGCAGGCTGTGTCTAGATGCTTCCAATCCCTCCTCCAAATTTAGATGGGATGTTTCTGGCTTTTCTTTATGGAGGTGATTTATGGCTATTTGAAGCTACTTTTTCCACATACCTTAGATGCCGCAGGATTGCTGAAGCCCTTGCAGGTTTTTGAAGGATTGCTGAAGTGAGAGGCTTACTAAAGATCCTGGAATCCATTATATTCTCCACGCATCCTTCAGAATGTTGATTTCTTTAATGACTTTTCAAGCCATCTTAGGCTACTTTGAGATTTGCTTCAGAATTCAATAGATTTTGAATGGCTTGAACAGATGCTTCAAGCCATTCCGCTGGTGTCAAAGCACGTGTTTTTGGCCCTCTTACTTCCATGTATTTTAGGGATATCTCCAGCCAATTAGCCACATCCCCCAGGAATGCTTCAGGATGTTCTTTCTCAAACTTGATCCAGGAATTTACAAGCCATGTTCTCAGGGAGATACTAGGTCCTGCTTGGTAGGACTTTTCATTAAAGCTTTTACGACATTTTTGCAGCCACTGCAATACATTTCGCCTGGATTCTTTTGTGGTTTTAGTTTTTAAGTTCTGCAGACAGGCTTTAAGCCATTGTTTATTTAGTTCATGTCTGTCCCGATGACGCTTCATCTTCTCAAGAGGTTCTCGCGTGTTTTCTGCCGTTGTGCCATCCACAGTTCTTTGCCAGGAACTCATGAAGCATCTGTTGAAATCTCTACTGCTAGATGACCCCACCTGGTTCCTGTGTATCAATGGCAAGCTGTTCTTCCTTGGTGGTTTCTCTCTAGAAAAATCAAAAGGTTACATATGAATCTGTACCAAGTAAGAAATATTCTTAGTTATCAGTAATGGGAACTGCTTTGATTTCAGGAAACTCTTACTCCAAACGTATATCAATATTTTTGGGTGGTGGGGAGAGAGATGTTAAAGGACCTCTCCTATGCATACCTTTTGAAAAATCCCACTCACTTCCATAAGACTTACTTTTAGATTTGTATACGTAGGACTAAATGTGTAATGAGCCATAATTCATAAATTTTCAGTCTTTTAGTTTTGGTGTGGGAGGGGGATATTACTTTGAAAACTTGATCAATAACTGAAGAGTGTTACATGTAACATTTAGCTAATATTAAGTTACATTGTCCTAAAACATCCATTGAAAAGGCCTCCGGAGCCTGGATCGGGACACGCGGGGGCGCGAAAGCTTTCCCCGGCCTTAGATCCAGGCTGCAGTGCCCTGCAAAAGCCTTTGGGAGTCCAGATCAGGCGGTGGGTGGGCGTTAAAGCCTCCCACGGCTTTAGATCCGGGCCCCAGCAGCCTGGAAAAGGTCTCCGGAGCCCCAATCCAGCCTCTGGAGACACACAGAAGCGTTTTCCGGCTTCGGGTCTGTTCTCTGTTGCAGAGAACAGAGGCCTAAAGTACCATGAGATCACGAGAGATCAGTAGCGTGAGATCTCATCTCACTGATCTCGTGTGATCTTGCATTACTTTAGGCCTCCATTCTCTGCGAATGCAGTGAAGGCCTGGAGCAGCCAAGAAAGCGAAGGATCTCGATCTTCGCAGGATGAGTATTGAAGGGCTGGTGCCTAGGGAGACGCAGGCTGGGGTGGGGAGGGAGGGAATAACCAGAGTGAAAGTTGCAAAGCCACTGCGGTCACTTGTAAGGGCGAATGACTGCTGTGGTGCTGCAATATTCGTAATTAGTTCTGGGTGCACTATATTTTCGTTGTTAATGTAGTATACTGGCTTCTATTATACATTACATACCTCCAGACATCTTAATTCCTCTGTCTGGTCTGGAAGAACGGGGTGTTCAAAATTTTCTTTCTGAAATATTGAAAAAATACTCTATTTTAAAAAGACAAACTTATTGACAGTGATTAAAAACCCTATTTTATTTGTTAAAACAATTTTATCCGGGTTCTCGGTCACCTATCTTAGTAAGGCCCTTCTCCCCCAACTGCTCAGTTTGTCGGGACGACCAGCTGTTGGAAGTGTCCTTGTTGCGCCAAACCTCTCCCATGCGTAAATTATGTGGGCCACTGTGCTCTAAGGAACCTTCACTGCAGCAGAAATTTTATTGTAGCCTTCCTCAGATCTGTGCCTTGCAATAATCCTTTCTCTCAGCTCTATAGGTAGTTCCTTTGACTTCATGGCTTTTACTCTGCTACAAGTATGCATTGTCAGTTCTGAGGCCTTTCATAGAGAAGTGTGTACCTTTCCAAATCATGTCCAATCAATTTAATTAACCCCGGGTGGACTCCAATCAGGGTGTAGAAACATGTCAGCAACGATAAAGAGAAGTGGGAGGCACCGGGGTTAAATTTCAAATGTTGTTGCAAAGGGTCTGAATACTTATACCAATGTGATATTTCAGATTCAAAAATTATGAATTTCAACAACTGTAGAATCAGGCTGCCGCATAACAAAATTGACAAAAGTGAAGGAGGCCTGACTATTTCTGAATGCACTGTATTTTCATTGTTAATGTAGTGTACTGACTACAATAATACATTACATATCTTAAGATGTCTCACTTGCTTTCTTTCTTCTAGCTGAGGTAGTTTGATGTATTCTTCCTGAAATATTGACAAAATATTCTATTTTAAAAAGGCAACCCTACTGACCACAATTAAAGACCCCGTTTCTTTTCTAAAGCAATATTATTTGGGTTTGGGGTGATGTTTAAAAAAGCTTTAAAAAATCATGTCCAATAAATTTAATTAACCATAGGTGGACTCCAATTTACAGACATTTCTTTAATTCTGTTTTCACTTTGTCATTATGGGGTACTGAGTGTAGATTAATAAGAAAAAAAAATGAATTTCAACAAATGTAGAATTAGGCTGCTGCGTAACAAAATTGACAAAAGCGGAAGTGTTAATATTTCTGAGTGCACTATATTTTCATTGTTAATGTAGTATATTGTCTGCAATTATACATTACATACTTCCAGACGTCTCAGCTCTTCAAATTTCTTTTCCAGTTGTGGAAATTTCACTTTTTCTTCCTGAAACATTGACAAAATATTCTATTTTAAAAAAGACTCCAATCAAGGTGTAGAAACATGTCAGGATATTTCAGGATCTTTCTTTCCTATCATCTCTTGAAGTATTTCCTCCTGCAGGCCGTGTCTAGATGCTTCTAATCCCTCCTCCAAATTTAGATGGGATGTTTCTGGCTCTTCCTCATGGAGGTGATTTATGGCTATTTCAAGCCACTTTTTCACATAGTTTAGATGCCACAGGATTGCTGAAGCTCTTGCA